CAGTGCAGCAATGGGAAGAGAAAGAGTCAATAGATTACAGACAGACAGCTCTCCAATGTCTCACAAGCACTTTAGTGTGAAAATGCTGAGTCCTTCTGAATTATAAAGCACATTATTAACCCTACAAATCTTACTAGATCATATTTGATACATGAATTTCTAAGGCCTCTAAATTATCAACTTGATCAAACCTTTGCTGAAAAACCTGTTGTAATCAATCTTCTACATGCTTTCCACCTTCTGACTGATTGATAGACTATGACTACTGATTGATAGATACATGTTAAGGAAGTAAAAGGCCTGAAAAAACTGTCCACCTTCAGGTTGTGGTACATGCATAGTTTTGCTGTGAAATCTTTAATATATTTTTATATTTTTCATAAGTTTTATATTGTTATTAATATTTTAAGATGAATATTTACTGGACTGGAGCTACTTAAATTTACTTGATTATCCATATATATACTTTTTGTTTAAGAAAAATCATGTTAAAATGCATGTATCAAATATTATACAACAGACTTTTGAAGAACATTTATTTGTACATCAGTCAAATGTGTGTGTGTGTGTATATATATATGTACACACACACACACATTTATATTATTGCTTATTTTTGATCAGTTTAATTGGGCCTCTGGATAAAACATTTTTTTTCTTTGAGCTCCTTTTTCCTCATCATATCATACTGTGTAGGCTATTAAAGCCTGATGTATCAAAAAACAAACAAACATACAAACGTGTTTTAGACTTTCGAATAAAATGTTTCAAAAATATTACTATTATATCATATGTCAGGCTACAGGGTTAAAATTTCCCCACCCATACAATACAAATAACAACAGAATAGCTATGGTATATTCCAGTCATGTAGCCTATAGATGTATGTGAAGTGCATGAAAAGTCCACAAGCAGTGTTATAAGAGCTGTGTTCCTTTTTCATGTGGAGCGCCAGGCAATCTGCCGAATGTGATTTTATAAGCAAGTGAAGGCTAGTACAGTTATACAATTCTCTCTCATTATCTGTTACCTCACATGGGAGACAGTGAAAGAAAGAAAGAAAGAAAGAAAGAAAGCTCAAAAAGAGATTGCGTTCTTGTTTTATGACTTGCTTGCAATCCATAACGTCACGTCAAGGTTTCGGTTGATATGTGATTTCACTTCCCTTTTCACTAAAGCACGTTCAGTTACACAGCACTGGTGGTAGGCTACTGTAGGTCTGTTTACTGAGACAACATTTTTAACACGTTCTGGCCCCTATTATGTCTAGATAGGCAGCTCACGGAGTGACATGACCTACGTTGCGTTAGTAATTATGTTCGCTAACGTGATCACAGTAAGCTAGGACTCACACTTATTCTGGGCTTTCAGAAAGTTTAGCGCATTCTTTCCAAACTGATTTTTTTTTTTTTGCGTTTATTTAAAGGTCATAATAGCCAGAATTTCCCTGTTTCATTTTAAAGGGTTAGTTCACCCCAAAATTAAAATTATGTCATTAATTACTATTATTACACCCTCATGTCGTTCCAAACCCGTAAGACATTCATTCATCTTCGGAACACAAATTAAGATATTTTTGATGAAATCGGAGAGCTATCTGACCCTCCATAGACAGCAACGCAACTGAAATGTTCCCAGGTCCAGAAACGTAGTAAGGACAGTGGTAAAACAGTCCATGTGACATCAGTGGCTCAACTTCAGTTTTGCGATGCTATAAGAATACTTTTTTTGCGCAAATAAAACAAAAATAACATAATTTACTCCATTAACCATTCTTCTCCCCCGAGTTATGTCTTCCGCCATTTTGGAGAGTACCCAAGAACGTATCGGACGTAATCAGAGTTGTTTACGTTCGGGGGGAAAGTGCACGCATGAACGTAATGTGCGTAATAAGTAAGGGATAATCAACAGTTAATGCACGACGTGGAGGCAAAGAACCACCCGACGCGAAGCGGAGATAGAACGGTGATTAAACTGACTTGGAACTACCTGTGCATTAAACGGTTTTACTGCATACCTGCCAGCCAATCAGAATCCAGTATTCAGACAGACCATGGAATAAGCATTGTTTATGCTCAGGGGAAAGAGTGCGTATGCATTGTAATACTCTCTAAAATGGCGGAAGACGTAACTCGGGGGAGAAGAATGGTTGAGTAAATTATGTTATTTTAGTTTTCTATGCGCAAAAAAAAAGTATTCTCGTAGCATCGCAAAACTGAAGTTGAGCCACTGATGTCACATGGCCTGTTTTACCGATGTATTTACTACGTTTCTGGACCTGGGAACATTTCAGTTGCGTTGCTGTCTATGGAGGGTCAGACAGCTCTCCGATTTCATCAAAAATAACTTAATTTGTGTTCCGAAAATGAACGAAGGTCTCACAGGTTTGGAACGACATGAGGGTGAGTAATTAATGACATAATTTTCATTTTGGGGTGAACTAACCCTTTAAGTAGCCTTGGGGTGCATAACCGGGAGCAGATCTGGAATCAAAGTGATGTCCGAATCGTTTTCAATGATACAATTGAACCTGTTCACTAACTCGGTCTGAATGATTCGTTCACAAATCTGATTGAATCTGTCCTGGCGGTTTTTGAGTCAATAATTTTAAATAATTTTAAAATCACTTGAACGATTCCGATGAACAGAGAACATACCTTTTGAACATAATGATTCGAGAACCAATGAGTGGACTGATAGTAAAAGCATTTGTCTTAAAGTGTGGTGGTAAAAAATGTTACAAATAAAATTGTCTGAAAATATATTTACAACTGATTGACAGTTGTAACAGGCTTAGGAAGAAAGTACGTTTTAATTTAACTTTTTCAACCGAGGGATAGCAGGCCTAAATGTTGAGTTTAAGTTGTAAATGAAAATTATTTGGATTGTGTTTTGAACTGAATCAAAGTGGACCCATGAAATTAAACTATCCTTTACATTTTAGGCTTTTTCTTATCTATGCACAATCAGCTTGTAACACTCCAAAGAGAAAGGAAAACTTGAAATCGCATCATATGACCCCTTTAATTGAAATAAAAAATGCAGATAGCAAACTGTGCTACAGACTTTAGGCTATATTTTATTTATCGTCTTTATTGAAACGGTTAATCGCATATGTAATATGCTACGTCAGGAATACAGAATACCACGCGATAACGGAATCACGTCATGATTTACAGTAAGCTATAAGAAAAGTTGAATCTGTATATGATTCTTTGAAACGAACTGTTCAAAGGAACCGAAACTAGGAATGAACTCGGACTTTCCATCATAGTCTAAACTCAACATTACATCAAGTCATGTGCTACCTTGTGCGTGCCTGGGGGCTTATTTAATGTCGAGACAAGGGGGAAAAAACCCTGTAACTACTATAAGGGTGGCCATATACAACACAAAACTTTTAAAACTGTATCTGTAGGTTTATTAAATGAAACTTAGATTGAAGACATTTCCATTTACACGTCCTTACCTGCGATGTCCCATAGCTGTAGCCGCACTAGTGTTTTGCTGTCCCAGTTGAGGACTTTGAGCGCAAAATCCACTCCTATGGTCGCTCTGTAGTGTTGCGAAAAGAGTTGGTGCACGTATCGCTTGATGATGCTCGTCTTTCCCACACCAAGTTCCCCGATTACCAAAACTTTAAACAAATACTCTTTACACTCCGACACAGACCCGCCTGCCATGCTGCCAAATGTCAGTTATGAGAGAGGAAAGTTTTGGCAACTTTGAGCAACCACTTCCCCTCTACTCCCTCACACAGTTTGGAGAAGTGCTTTGGGTTCGGGGACGTGAGTAAGGAAAGTATTCAAACAGAAAGCACACACTCCCTCTCCTCCCACCGGACAACCACCTGATAAGTCATAGGACCCGGAAATATCACGCCTCGACTGGATTGCTTTGCTTTTTTTTTTTCACCCGCTTGGGCTTTTTAGGGTCAAATAAATAAAGAACACACACACTCACGCGCTGCGGTCTGGTGAGTCGTGGAAGTTAAATAAAAGAGTTTGAATTTCAACATGTGCGGTTCCTGAGCGCGAGTCTTGAATGCAAAGATTGCGTAACATCATATTTGGTGTGATCAAAAGCAGACAGAAACGAACACGAAGATTAAATAAAAATCTGATGTAGGCCTACCATTTTGAGTGCTTACAATATGAATAAATCGCTTTTATGGTGATGTGAAGTTAGAGAGTTGTGCTATTATGAAGTAACATTAAAATCTCATTTCGGAGATATTAAAGATAATGATACCATGCCATAATAAAAATAAACTGATATTAAACTGTTCTTAATAGTGTATTAAAAACCCACTTGTATTTGCAATTCATAAAATAAAGATAAAAGTGCATAACCATTAAAAGCATCAAGCTCTTAAACAGAAAAGGTGGTGAAAAACAAAAGACAGCATTAAATATAAAATATTTATTTTACAGCATGATTTGTCCTGGCAGAAAGAGCATTCTCCTCATTTTTAAGTTTGACCATGTAAACAGGTGATCTTGTCAATTACTTTACTACATTGAACAAATGGTTCTGTTCCAAACAACTTACACTAAAAGACCTAATAATATTACAATCCATTATAACAATTACAATATGTAAGATATTCAAGAATATTGTTCTTTTGAGAGTTGCATTCTAATAGTCCTGTGAAACTTAAAGCGTTACAGTAGTAAATGCATGTAATAATCCTACGCGAGATTGGCAGTAAATGCTACAAGTTACCACTAGAAGCAACTACTCATAGTTACAGTTTAAAAATGGAACATTAAAAGTTTGTAAAAGTCGCTGAAAAGTTACTCCAGCTTCATTGCCACCATATACAGTATTTCCCTTTATCACAAAAAGCAAGTTATAAGACGTGGTTTTTAAAACATACAAATATCTCACATTCTAATCATAGAAACATATAGTAGAAATACAAAGACACCATCTGTGTGGAAAACGATAGATGGCAGAACAGTATACAAACGTTTGCAAAACACAGCTCCCTTTTTCAAGGATGAGTTCACGCATGAGACAAAGTAAAGTTGAGAAAAACACCGTTTCTTTTATTAACCTTGGCTCCACATTTAAGCTAAAATAGTATTCTATACCTAACATTACAATCAGCATTCTTGCCCTTGACTCTCTAAGCAAAAGCACTGAAACTTACATTTGGGAGCCACAAGGAAATTGGAAAACACCTTAGCTGGGAAACTCCACGTTTACTCATCCAGTCAACCAAGTGAGTTTTGTGCGCACATGATTTCTGTGTTTCACTCTGACTTGTGCACTGTTACTGAAACAGTTTAAAAAATGGAAATCAGATACCAAAACCAGATACACAGCAACCTGCTATGAGATTTGATTCTCTTTGTTGCACTCTCAGTACTGTTGCACTTATGTGTCTGTGCCGTCTACATCCTAAACCCTCATTTTTTCCATGATTGTTTTTGTGTTGCCAATAGTAACGAAACTTTTGAATCAGAACCAAGTCCAGCTACATAGTTCAAAAGCACATAAAATCCAAGAAAGTGTGTCTCATCCTGCTAAGAGTGAAATAGTAAAGCAGCAAGCTGGCATTATCACTCCTGGACTGTTGCGATGTCACTTGCCAGTGGATTTCGGGCACAGCAACACAATCATATTTGGCACTCCAACTTTCTGCAGCATTTTGGAAAACGTATGCTGCCAGCGCTGCCTCAGAGAAAAATATTCCCAACAGGACGTCCCATTTGTTCATTTTAAGGTTCTTCCTGCCTTCCGAAAGAGACTTACGTAGATAAGAAAGCAAATTATATCCTGCAGTGATCGAATAATAAACAGCGCTGTCCTGAGCGTGTGGTTTTACAGCGTAAAAGAGCTTTGTGTTGGGGCGTAGTTCATACTTTGGGAAAAGGGAGGGTTATTGTCAGAGCCGGGGGATCCGGGAATGGACCCCCCTGCCTGAAGCGAGTCCCTGAAGGGGGAAGGTGGAGTGAGCAGAGTCAGCTTACTCTGTGCCAACTCTTCCTCCACACCTTCCTCTTCGTCCTCCTCTTCTTGTGTGGCACTCTCACACAGAAACCCCTGAATGAGGTCAAGAGCTTCCAATTCTGAACCTTCCTCAGGGAACGCCTCCCCTTGCATTGGAAGAGGCAGCTGATTGGCAGACGATTTATAGGTGACGGGGCTCGACTTGTTGCCCGTGCCGATTACAAATTGGTCAAAATCAGGAAGCGTTGAGCTCAGGGTGTCCACCGGCCTCCCTTGAGGACAATCAGTGCTGTGGTCTATTAAATTAGAAGGGGAATAGGAAGGTGGTACCCCTCCCTCGTGGGTTGTAGGATGTTGGGGACCCCCATCGTGCCCCTCGCTGAGGTTGTAGAGATCCTTGTTGTCGGGGTGAGAGCCGGTGGGGGCTGTGTTGAGACCAGCATCATATTCAGACTCGTGGGGTTGTGAGGCATTAGTTAGGGGTCGTATGACCGCCGTCTGACTCTGGCCGATCGCTTGCCTCCTCACATGCACAGACAGTCTGTGGAACACACTCGACCCCCTCCCCTGGGGTCTGGCACCTGATTCAGACCATGACACAGACTTTCCATTAGGACTATGAATGAAACAGAGACCCAACGTTATTCCCACGAAGAAACGCCAGAATGCGACACAGAGACACAGAAGAACATCACAGAAAAATGATCATTATGCATGTCATCATTCATACAATTCATACAATTATCAGCCATAAAACTCTCATGATTAGGGTTAGCACACGATGCGTAACTCAACATTGTTAATTCATGAAGTCTCTGACAGAGATCCCTCAAACATGCCAAGTGCGTATCTCATAATGACCTGCTTACAGAGCATTATGAAAGCCACGATGGCTCATTCTCTGCCATCCCTTCTCTGCCCTGCTCTGCTCAAACTGAACATCATGCAGTATGAATAAGGGATTCATGGAATTCCCCTCAGTTTCAGTTCAACATGGCATTCGCTGTCCGCTCTTAGTGTAATTAAGTTAACTGGACAGTAAGGCCTCAGAGCTGAAAGCTGCGTCAGATTCAAGGGGCGTTCACACTGACAGAGATTTGTAGCGACAAAGCGTCTAGAAGTCAGTTGTTTTTAACAAGAGTGGGCAGATTTTGGCAATGTGATGTGGGCGTGTCTGGTGATGCATCAAAATAGAGAAAAAGTTTACGTTAATGTACATGAGCAGCGATGTGCCAAATACCAGCAAGAGAAAAGTTTATGCAAACCATTTACATTTATGCAAATGACCAGTGATTACCAATGGGAGGGAAGTTTGTGCAAAAGTTTAGGTTTATGCAAAAGAGCGTTGACTTGATGAGGCGTCAACGTTAAGAGTATTTCAAGTTTATGCAAATAAACAGTGACTCGATGCAGCAGCTACCAACAAGAGTGAAGTTTATGCAAATGAGATGTGACTTCATGTGAAGGATACCAAGTGATTTGTCAAGTTAAGAAAAGTTTAATTTTATGCAATTCAGCAGGGACTCAATGTATCAACTACCAATGGGAGTCAAGTTTATGCAAACGTTTACGTTTATGCAAATGTGGAGCAAATTAATGTAGTAACCAGTGAATACCAATAGGAGTTACGTTTATGCAGACATTTACTTTGATGCAAATAAGTAGTGACTTGACATGGCGAGTACTAACGAGAGGGAAAATTGCTACAAAAGTTAACATTTATGGCATCCAGTAAAAAGTCAAAGTTGAGAGTAGGTTATGCTTATGCAAATGAGCAGCGACGAGTCTGTTTCATGCATAATCATTCATCTTGTTTACAACGCACAATGACTTGCTGTAATCTACAAACAAATAGTACTTTGTTTATTTTATGTTATAAGGTTACTTTTTAGCAGCCAGATTGCTCATTAAAATCTTAATTTTGCCTGGAATACATCTCATTTGTGATCAGACTTTCTAAAGCCCACCCATCAACGTTAAAGCTTCCAGCAGTAGGAAGTCAATTATCACGCAACATCACAACGACAAAATCGCTACCAGTGTGAATGGGGCATTAGAAGAGAACTGGATATGGGAGCTACAGCCTCTACGAGAACTGGGTTAAATTTTTAGTCAGGAGAAGGTTTGACATGGGGGGAGGAGGCACACTGAAAAGTGGGTTAATACTGAGGAGGAGAGAGGGACTATGTGGATGGGTAGTTTGATGAAAATTAGGTTTTGGACGAGGATTCAGCACAGATAGAGGACGACCGATAGTGTCTGGCTCTAGCTACATACATACTCTTGGTTTGCAGCAGGTAGAAAAACATGGGAGAGACAACTCAAATACACACACATGCTAGAAAGAACACTTTCAGAGCTATCGCTGCAGTCCAACTTGGCGTGCTACTGAGAAAGAAATACTATTATTTTATTTCCATACGTTTCATAGCCTGTATGTGCATTTAGCTGATATTTCAGAAATGTGACTCAAACCTATTATTATCTGTCACTCACTTAGTGGTGCCGGTCGCGTTGTTGATGTTCTTCTTCCTGCGAAACATGTTGAGAATGCTGTTGCTCTGGCAAGGAGCCGCCTTCCCGTCGCCCACGTGCATACGAACCACGTCTGAGGTCGTAAAGGCGCTGCGCACGTTGCGCTCGGGCTTGGCGATGATGATGTACATCTTGGGCGTGAACATGCAGCTCAGTGCTACAGTAACACTGAGACTGACGGAGAAGGAGGTGGTGATGATCTTGTAGTTGGAGCCGAAGTAGATGGGCACAAAAGCCAGCCAGATAATGCAGGTGGTGTACATGGTGAATGCGATGTACTTGGCTTCGTTGAAGTTGGCAGGCACGTTGCGGGTCTTGAAGGCGTAGTAGGTGCAGCTCATGATGAGCAGGCCGTTGTAACCCAACGGAGCCACTACGCCCAAGTTACTTGTGTTACAGATGAGGTACACCTCCCTGATGCTGGGGTAGCTCTTCACCGGCTCGGGGGGTTCCAGCACGATCAGCGTAACCTCCACGGCCAGCTGGAAACTAATCAGGATGAAGGCGATTACCAACTGCGCCCAGGCGCTCATGAAGCGGGGCTTGCGTGTGCAGATTTTCTTCTTGCTGCCGGCCAGGATGCGTGCAATGCGGTTGGTTTTGGTTACCAGGGCGGAGTAGCACATGGCAGACGACAAGCCCACTAGAAGGCGCTGCAGGTAACAGGAGATCACAGTGGGACGTGCGATGAGAGTGAAGGGGCAGACGTAGCCAAGGAAGATACCCGCCAGGATGATGTAGCAAAGCTCACGACTGGAGGACTTCACCACCGGCGTGTCACGGTACTGGATGAAGATGAAGGTGACGAATAGAGTTACCAGGATACCGAGGCAGGAGAACACCACTGCGATAATGGACTCCACGCTGCTCCACTCCAGGTATTTGAGCGGGAGAGGCTTGCATTCTGGAATAAAACAAGCAGATGGGAAGTCAAGATGGATGGAAAATAAAACAGGCCAAAACAAATACAGAATTTAAGGACTGTAGGACTTCTGGATCTGCCAATCTTCTTGGCAAAGATTGTATGGTGTCATCATGTGGTGTATGTACTATGTGTGTACACATGCATTTTAATGCCTTAACATAGTTTTAAGGGTCAGTGGCATTTAAAAGTATGCAAATCTTTAAAAAAAAACACATGTTGGTTTCATATGGTATTGAAAAATGTAGATACAATTTTCAAGAAAAGTATTTTTAAAGTATTAAGTTAAAATGGAATTATGGTTTTCTTACACCTGGAATACATGTAAATGTACTTGTGAAGCTTTTAAATATATTTTTCAAGGTAAAATGTTTCTTTTTTTTAACAAATATTGCAAATGCAGACAGTATTTTTTTAAATAATAAGCAGTGAAGCAGTAATGATGCTTCTTTCTTCATAATGATATTAGGAAAATTAAAAAGGTCTTTTTAGGTCATTGTACTGTATGTATACTACCATTGAAATTTTTTTTTTATTGCATTAATTTATACAGCAAGGATGCATTAAATTGATCAAAATGTCCATTAAAGACTTTCATATTATTTAAAAATAAATTCTAATAAATGCTGTTCTTTTGAACTTTATGTATACAGGTTCCACCAAAATATTACGTTTTCAACTTTGATAATAAAATTCAGCTTTGCCATTATAGAAACAACTTATGTTTTAAAATATATTAAAATAGGAAACAGTTATTTTGAACTGTAATAATACTTCAAAATAATACTGTATTTTTGATTAAATAAATTCAGCCTTGGGCATAACAGACGTCTTTCAAAAACATTTTAAAAAATCTTCCTGACCTCAAACTTTCCAACAGTGGTGTATGAATTGAATGTTTAAAATATATTAGTGCTGTCAAACGATTAATCGCATCCAAAATAAAAGTTTTTGTTTACGTAATATATGTATATGTAAATAATAATAATTGTAAATACATTTTTATATTTATGTATATATAAATACACACACATAGAGTATATATATATATATTTTTTAATATTTACATGTATATACATTTATATATTTATATTCTTATATTTTATATTATACATAAATATATGTAATATATAAACATAACATATTTTTCTGAAATATATACATGCATGTATTTGTATTTATATATACATCATAAATATACACAGTACACACACACATATTATGTAAACAAAAACTTTTATTTTGGATTTTTAAAAATGAATAGAAGAACATCACGTCATTGACCCTTAAACTTCATATGCCCTACTTTTGTGTGTATTTCTTTCTATGGATTCTGAACACTCTCATTCTTTATGACAAAGCCTTCTATACATTGTTGAAGGGTCTCTTTCTCTCAGTCACTATGACAGAGCTTTTTCTCTATCTCAGATCAGTCTGTCTCTCTGGTAATCAGAATTCCCTGTTGCTGCTCAGGTTCCGTGGTGAAACTGTTGAGCCTGACACACGGCTGCTGGGTACTAATGGGATTCCAACCTCACCGTTATCCAGCTCTGCTCGCTGCTGCAAAGAGCTGTCAAAATAACGCGCGGCTCACAGCCCATAGGGATAGAAAGTGTTGGGTGTTGGGTAAGGAGGATGCGAAGGGCATAGAGAGGAGAGGAGAGGAGCCGAAAGGAGATATGGGCTGAACAGAATCTAAAGCATAAACGTTGGAGGAATACAGCAAAGATAGTTTGAGCTATTCTCAATGAAATACTGGTCTAAGTTTTTAAATGAAGAGCTATTTTAATAGATGTGTGGATAATTAGGAGGATGAATGAGATGTAAACAAAGTCTCTTACCTGCCAGTTCATCATCAGGCCACCAGCCCAGATCACAAGCTCTGCATGTGAACTCATCTTGAACGTATTCATTATCTTTGCATGTAGTGCAGATCCAGCAGCAACTCACTTCTCCTTTACGGATCACCTACAATCAGAAAACACCCAGAAATATTTACTTTGATGCCCACTACGGTAACACTTCACAATTCTACAAGTTTCATTAGTTTAAATTAGTTAATTCATCTCACAACAACTAACAATGTACAAATGTATTTATATATATATATATACATACATACATATACAGCGGGTAAAATAAGTATTGAACACGTCACCATTTTTCTCAGTAAATATATTTCTAAAGGTGCTGCTGACATGAAATTTTCACCACATGTCGGTAACAACCCAAGTAATCAATACATACAAAGAAAAGATATTTCACTTGTTAAAGACAAAACTAATGGCAGAAAGACCCACAAACAAACAATAACTGAAATCAGCTGCAGTAAATGCCTGGCAATTGGCAAAGCATCACAAAGGAGGAAACCCAGTCTCTGGTGATGTCCATGAGTTCCAGACTTAAGGCAGTCATTGCCTGCAAAGGTTCCTTAACAAAATATAAAAAATGAACATTTTATTTATGATTATATTTATTTGTCCAATTACATTTGAGCCCCTGAAAATGGTGGAACTGTGTATAAAAATGGTTGTAAAAGCATTTTATGTTATATTTTTGTTCAACCCCTTGAATTAACGCTTAAAGTCTGCACTTCAATTTCATCTTGATTGTTTCATTTGAATTCTATTCTGGTGGCATACAGAGCCAAACTATGAAAATTGTGTCAGTGTCCAAATATATATGGACATAACTGTATATAACTGAAAATACAATACATACATGATTATGCTACATACCTTGATCTGTCCCTTAGAACACGGTTCGCTGCAGACGGATCGGACCATTTCAGTGCGGTTCGTCATGAGTTTATAATCACTGATGCTCAGGAGACCTTCATGCCACGACCCCACATTAATGTAGTCATAGCGGCCCAGCTCCTCCACATACTGAAGATTCATAATATCATACCTTAGAGAAAAGTAAAAGAGAAAGAGAGGTAATGATATAAGTGAATGAAAAAAAGAAAGAAAAAGAGCAAGTCTGCCATAATAAGTAGCTCAGTGCTGCTGAAGCCTGGGAACTAGCAAGAGGCAGAGTTCACACTTTTACCATGTTCACACATCCAAGTCTCTCAACTTTGCATCCTCCACCTGGGATATGAATCCACAACCTCCCGAGTGCTCAGCCCACTCATCCATACTAATGACACTCCCTAGCTTACAGATGAGGCAAAGTGTCCCAAGCTCACACATGTACACAAGGCAATGGCGGTCTTGGCAGCAGTGGAGCTGTCATCTTTTGTACGTGTATAGCCAGGGTGACAGGAGCTGACCGCATCAGGGTATTGGAGTGGAGAGGACTGAAGCATCTCCTTGAGACAGGCAATCTGTTCCACTCCAAGTCTATTACCATCCGATACGCACCTTTTTGCATGTGTTGGCAAGGGTGCCAAATCTAACCTGAGAGGGTGTGTGATCGATTGTTGCCTTAGAGAATAGGTATTCATAATGCTCAATGTCACACTGGCCATTCAGGTACAAACTGTCATATTGACATTAAACTTAGCTCTGTTTTAAAACCTAATGAGCTGACTTGATACACTTGCAGTTTCCTTCCACTCATTGAAACGCCTTATCTGGAACACTCTACATAGACAGCAATTCAACACACAATTTTGTGTGATGTTTAGGGTGGCCATAGGTCCTCTATTTTTGGACATGTTATATGGATGGGATTTCTAAATTGCCAAAAATGTCCGGATTTTGCCTTTGTTTTCATATTTGCTGAAGGTAAGGACTGAAAAGTAGCGTGCAGGCATTGTACTGTACATAACTGAATTTAGGAGGACTGTAGAGAACATGTCAATAGGAAATCAAAGTCAAAACCTAGACATTTTAGGCAATTTAGAAATCCTAGTCAGGACCAGGACAAATAGGACATATGGTCACCCTAGTGATGTTAGCATGGTGCTAAGCTAACAGTGTAACAATCCAGGCATAAAACTACACACAGTAATGGGATTTACTCTGAACTATAACTAAACTGGACTTAGCTGGTTTGTTTTACAGTGGTTTTGGGCACATTTCAAGTGGTCAGAGTGTAATGCCAGCTGACCGTCGAGGTAAATCAGCTAAACACCAGTTTGGTCAGGCTGGGAGACCACCTTAAAACTATTTATTTCTAGCAAAGTAGGTAGAGGCTGGTTTAAATGTAGGCTGTTTTTTGTTTGTTTTGTTTTCAGCAGGTGTGACTGGTTTGGAACAATCTACTTTGCAACGTAGCAACTCCACATGCAATAGTTTTTGACATTAGCATGTTGATAAGCTAACAGCATGATTCTTTAAAGGGGTCATATGATGCGATTTAAATTTTTCCTTTCTCTTTGAAGTGTTACAAGCTCTTGGTGCATAAAGAAGATCTGTAAAGTTGCAAAGACTAAAGTCTCAAATCCAAAGACAAGCTGTGCACTGCAAAAAAAAATTCTTAATCAGTATTTTTGTCTTGTTTTCCCAGTAAAAATTCCTTATAACATCCATCCTTAAAACAAAATAAATTCACATGAAAGGAAAAATTACTATATATTTTTTAAAAACCCATTAATTTGATTTCCCTACCCGATTAGTCTTTTTTCTTGTTTTAAGACTAAATTATCAAAATGTAGTGAGATTTATGCATAAAACAAGAACAAACTTGCCAATGGGGTAAGATTTTAATCATTTTTATTGTAATTAAATTCAAGTCGTTTTGCTTCTCAAGTACATTTGTTTTGTTTTAAGGATGTGTAGATATTTATCCTTGAAAAAAAGACAAAAATATTGATTCAGAAAATGATTTGAGTGACTGTGACTAAATCAACCAGGTGAACTCTTCACTCTCACACACATGCAGACAGTGTGGGTACCTCGTTACACTGTGACTGTGTCTTTTCTTTGCACATTCACACGGTTTCTCACACACACTTTGTGACGAGAAAACAACTTTTGTTATGTCGAGATCACGAGAAAATTAAGTCGTTATAACGAGAAAACAACTTTTGTTATGTCGAGATCACGAGAAAATTAAGTCGTTATAACGAGAAAACAACTCGTTATGTCGATATCACGAGAAAATTAAGTCGTTATAACCAGAAAACGAGAAGGAAAAAAAATAATATTGCATGGCCGCTTAGAACTTCCGTACTTTAGTGATTCAATTACATTAAGATTATATTTGTTTTTGTGTACAAAGATATTCAACTATATTTCTGTGGACAGGCAAAGAGAACAATTATTCGAAAAGCACAAAAGATGAGGGGGCACAACTCAGTTTACCTATATCACCTTTAAAAGCACCGACCAGAGGATAATTACATGAAAAAAATGGAGGGAAATATACAGAGTTACCATTAATAATTCAGTAAAATATCATGCATATAATATATTCCTAAAAACTGATTAATTCAATCAGACAGATATCAGTTATGCAAAATAACATACTGCCAAACTGACAATATATCATGAAAATTGTATACTTCTACTTGTTTATTTTATTTAAAACTAATATTAAATGTTACTGATTGCATTCATATTGATATCATTTGAGCAGCTTCTGGTTCTTTGTTTACCTGTGCAGATTTTCTGGTAGTTATGGTTCTCCTGAGGATGACCAGGAATGCGGCATTGGAAGCGGTACTGCCAGAACTCAGCAAACCATGGATTCCTTGTGTTGGTGTCCAAACGCAGCTTCAGAAAGTAGTCATTAAATGACTGAACTTCTTCCGTTTGCAACTTCATTGTGATCCCACTATCTGCTTCCTGCTCATATCCTTCTACCACTTCATCACGATCTGCCCAGCCATCGCTTCAGTAAAAGAGAAAGAACATAACATGTCAGATGATGAGGAATTTGTGTCATAAAGATCCAGCTTCTTTGTATAAACACGGCTTTCATATTACAGCATACCTAATACTAATTAATGCATGTTCCTGTGGCTCAGTGGTACAGCATTGCGTTAGCAGCGCGAAAGGTCGTGGGTTCAATTACCAGGGAACACACATACTGGTAAAAAATGTATAGCCTGAATGCACTGTAAGTTGCTTTGGATAAAAGCGTCTACTAAATGCATAAATTATTATTATTAATTATTACTGCATACAAATGAGATTCAGTTTCACTTAAATCACCAGTGGACACCAAAGCATTTCAGTTTTGGGATGCGAGTGCTTCTGTTTAGCTGATATAATGTAATCCTGGAAGTAAACTGAACAGTTTAGGATTTTGTAAACGTATGGAAATTTTGAACAAATAACCTGGTTTTAAAAAAATTACTCAAAAATTATTAAAATTATTAACTTGAAATGATGCTGGTGTCAATAAATTAAAAAGACAGTGTGTCTTATGTTTTCATTTTTATTTTCAAGTCATCTTTCACTTAATTTGTTATGTTGCTTTTATGCATGTATTTATAATATAAATAAATTAATGTAAAATGTAAAACACAAGCATTTTTACTAGTGACTGCAGACTTTTGGACCTCCATTTTCTTTCTCTCCTCTTTCTCCACTCACATATTTCTCACAGTCAGCATTTTTAGCTTATTATGTTTTGTTATTCAGTTACTGCAAGTATGGCATAAATCCATTTCTTCATCATTCTCTGCTTGCCTAACTTCACTTCTCCAGTGCACAGCAGCGGTACTGTGGTATCATAGAGCGAATTAGACAAAATTACCTTTTAGAGGCTTTGACCTAAAATACATCTCCCTAAACAGCTTTGCACCCCACAGTAGAGCGGAAAATGGCAGAGATTAGATAGAGCAGAGTTCTACAGAGAGTTTTATTACCTCTATGAATAATGAATGAGCTGAAGCTCAGGTAGAGATTCACTGTGCTGCTATGATAGGCAGATATGGCAGTGTCCTGAGGCTGAAGACAGGCTAACTAGAGCAGCGATGGCACATACTGTAGGAGGACAGGAGCTGTTTGATTTCATCACGGCTCAATCCATCCCTAATTCTCTGCTTAGATTAATCTCAACATGTTCACCTTCACCACATCATTTTCGATTTTCTCGCTGTTTGTGAACCGAAATTGAAGCACTTTTGGGGAAGATATTTGAACAGACAGATTGCCACTCCTCATCACTAAAACTAGACCCTAAGTCCTTTTCCTATATCAACCTTAAAGAGTCATAGGTTGAAGGACCAACATTAGACAGCATTGTATATAATTCAGAGATCTTCTTTTCAAGAGTAAATGAGGAAAAAAGCTGTTTTTCTATTTCAGTAAGATCAAGTTGTATATTACCTTCTTTTAACTGTAACTCTAAAAAGTGTCGGATTTGAAGGAATTTATAAAAATCTTTACTGGGCAGATTAAATTACTGTCTTAACTCCTGAAATGATCTCATTTGGCCGTCATCAAATAAATGACCTAACTCCGACACTCCTCTTGACCTCCAAGTCAAAAGGCCAATATTCTGTATGGGAGTAAGAAGATCAGGACTGAGCGCAATTGGAGACTTAAGTGACAACTTATTTGGAATGGATAAATATTTCTTAACATCCTTCCACACCAAAAAAGTATTTGTTACAGTGAAAATATTTTTTTTGTACATTATGAATAAATGGTAGGGAGCATAACAGTCTAGGAAAACATTTTGTGGATTCAATCCCATCCAAGTGTGAATCAAATTATCAAATTAAATAAACCAACTTAACATGTGCTTAATTTGTGCAGACCAAAAATATAATTGAAAATTGGGTAGTGAAACCCCACCCAATTCCTTTGGTTTGGTATCCTCCGTTCTCTCATTTAAATCCAGTATAATGTGCATGTGTGCTCTGGTTGACTGTTGCTCGATCCTCTCTAGAGGACTGAGTAAGACAGTGCAGGCTTAGGCTGAGGGCCATTAGAACTCATCCAGAAGCCTTTACTAATTCATGGCGCTCCAGTTAGCAGCAGCCTGGCTCTGTTTCACAAGCAGCATTGCTGCTGCGAGCCCCCATCACGCCTGCTCTCGCTCACCCCACACCAGCTTTCATCTGCCTCTATTACTCTCCCTCCATCTTACATTCACATACACACATGATGAGCCTTTGTCATGTCCTCTCTGCATGTCCTTTTTTTCCCCTCCTGAACACCCCAAATCAGTTCATTCATATCCAAAACCTTTCAATGTCAGCCTCTTTTTTTAATATTCTTTGAATTCACATAGGACAAAACTTGAAAACTTGCGTAGTGACATTTAGTAAACAGTGTAGAATCCACCTCTTAAACATTACACCAGCAGTCTGAGCACAAACAGATGTGCTTGAAGTCCTATGGGACGTGGTGTAATACAGTTCCAATGACAGGGCTGCTGGGATGCCTGCAGGCTTTCCTCGCTCTAATGTAGTTTCGCTGTAGCTGTTTGAACCTTAAAGACTTGAAAGTGACCTCAGAGCACCTGTGAAGCACTGCAAAAGACTGGCAGGTCAACACAAACAGGTTTATATCTGCAGCTTCTCAGCGTCTAAATAATGTTAATGCTGATTCAAACCAGCTGGCTTTCTAGGGTTGTTTTTGTGCCAAAATCTCACTGAAACTGAAAATCTCTATTTTTCTCTCTTCCTGCATCTTACAGTTCCATCCCAAGTTTTACTCTAATGAACTGATTTTACAGCCAAATGTGGGAACTTCCCATATGCAGACATTTCGAAAACCTGTTAAAGTCAGTCTTTCTCACTCTCTGCTCGCCCTCATGACTAATAAATCTTTTAATACGTTCAAAATGGAGGGCTAATGAGAAAGAGATGTTTCCTGAGAATTAGCCTCCGCGGGGCTTTACAAGAGCGGTTCTCTTACAAAACCGCAATATCCGCAAATGATAACTTTTCCAAGGAGGTCACAGGCAATCATGCAGTACTGAATGCACTGAAGAATGCTGAATCCAATTCTCCACATTACTTGAGGAGAAAATAACCTCAGAAGAAAAGCTATTTGAAGAGTTCAAGCGCACCTATGAGTAAATGACCCACTTAAATACAAATGTGGGAAAGAATTGTGCTAAAGCCATAAGGCAAGTTTAGAGCATGAAACCATAAAAGGTTACACAAGAAGCAGAAGCGAGCCAGGACCGAGCTCAAGGACGCAATGCTTTATTAAAAAATACTGATTGTTGAAATCAGATAAAATGAGGTCAAGTACTTTAAGTCAGTTTATCATTAGCAATGGTTGCAGGGTCAAACGATCAAACAGATGTCCTTTTCCAATTTGATGAATGTAATTGAAAATTATTTATTGAAAATTGTAAACAAATAATAAATTACAGGAAATGTAATTCTGTTTTAACTTCTGTTTTAATAATTATGCCTTTTAGAAATAGTATTTAAATGTTATATTTCTACAAACAAGTTCACAAGTTCACTTTTTGAAAGTATGATGCATGCATCTATCTATCTATCTATCTATATATATATATATATATATATTAGCATCACAGCTGGTTTCAACATTGAAAATAATGATGATATTGATATTAATAATAGATCATGTTTTTTGAACAACAAATCAACATATTAGTATGATTTCTGAAGGATCATGTGACACTGAAGACTGGATAATAACTGAATATGTAATAATTAATGGATTTTAATGTAATATATTTAATAGACTGTAAAAAAAATTTATATGTAGCAGGTCGTGGTTATAATAATTACATTAATATTATATAAAATAATTATTTTAAAAAAAGATCACCACTAAAAGTGAAAACAATATTGTCTTTAAAAAAACTAGTGAACTTTAATTTGGAGCAAGATAAAAAGGGGGAGTGACTTTATTGCACCAAAGGTGTGCCACTTTGCTCACAGCTGATTGGTCCAGAACATAACCTTCCCCGGTAATAAATACTGCTAAAAACTGAGCCACTTTCACACTGTTTTAAATCTGGGCTTGGTACAAACTAAACTGAAACATGCCATACCATAACATACCATACCATGGTATAGGCCCCTGGTGAATGGGACACATTCATAAGACTACTAATTCCCATCCATGAAGAGACACATCTCAAAAACAATGACAAGATGACAGCTTATTATAGAAAAAAAAATCTGCAATATTCTCACAGGATGAGCAGAACTGAGAGGCAGCATGATGTTAATTAAAGAGAGTGGGCTTCTCGGGGACACTCAAGTTGCAAGGGGAAACCTAAAGGATGTACAGTAATAACACAAAAATGTGTATATAGTGTACTAATTAATATATTACCTACCAAGTGAAAGTATATATATAAATAATTGTGAGTATATATATCCACCAAATATGTAAGCAACCACCTAAACAACCTTGCAACTGTATAGCAATGGTCAAACAACCAGAATACTAATAAACTACCCGCATTAGTCTATCATCGTGGTGCGAGTTTTGCAGATGAAGAAACACAAATTCTCTTTTCTAAAAATATATATATATTTTCTGTTGTTTTAACTGAATGTGTAATGAGAGGCGAGAAGGAGTTCTTGGAGGAAAGCGCAAAAGGATTATTGGGACTGGGAACACAGAAGGCACTAGGGAGGAGAGTGCTGCCGTTTAAACATTTAATTTGGATTCCTGACAGTGCTTGAGACACAGCTGAAATACTGAGGAGCTGATGTTGTTTTTCTGTCCTGAGAGCAATACTGTGTGCCTATGAAAATATCTCTGGGACACATGCTGTATGGGACTCTAAATAAGGAGTAAAAAATATAGCGGGAATGAACCATGATCATTAAGAGGCAGAAGCAAACACAGTGCCCAGTGTAGCCTAACAGCTTCTGGGGAATCCAATGCAATACGCTTTCAAAAGAAGCTGCCCGTGAGACTTGAAGATGTTGATTAAAAATTACAAAGTCAATGTTTTTTCTGCTGCTGTGGAAAATTACATAGCCTGGTTTTGGGCTGGCTATGAATAAACAAAGCAGAGGAGAAGAACACCTGGACCTCATCCTCTTTTTCCCAGAAGAGCTCTCCAAACTCACTCTCTCTCTTTTTCTTAATCACTCTCACTTTCTCTCAGATAAACATCATCAACAGTCTTGGCTTGAAGGCTTGGACTCAGATTATCATGACAATGCAAGACGTTTTAATGAATAAATCTCCATTAGTTCCCAAAAGCGGTTTTGCTGTCTGCCTCTCCTACTCTCTCCTTTCCTCTCAAACATGTACTGATAAAAACAAACGTTCATTTCTGACAGGGTCATGCAAATATGAAAACAGGCGAAAATCCAGACTCCAGACACAATGTTTTGACCTAGAAAGTCTGTTAGCTGAATATGATGGCCTGCCTGTGATCGTACGTGGGTGGGCTATAGATGTTGCCTTGATATAGATTAAACAAGATAGCTGCTACAATTCATTTCCAGATCTTCAAGTCTGCAAGGATTCCGTCCGAGAATATTATCCAGTGTTGCTCTGATTTTGCTATCAGACAGTTTGACTGATCGGATAATAGCCTAATTAAATCAAACCTAGAACTGTGCAGAAAGTGTGTTTGATTGTATGATGATATCTTAAAACACTGGTTACCCATTTGTCTGTCCACTTGGAGATATCTGATCGTACGTGGGTGGGCTATAGATGTTGCCTTGATATAGATTAAACAAGATAGCTGCTACAATTCATTTCCAGATCTTCAAGTCTGCAAGGATTCCGTCCGAGAATATTATCCAGTGTTGCTCTGATTTTGCTATCAGACAGTTTGACTGATCGGATAATAGCCTAATTAAATCAAACCTAGAACTTTGCAGAAAGTGTGTTTGATTGTATGATGATATCTTAAAACACTGGTTACCCATTTGTCTGTCCACTTAGAGATATCTGACGGGTCTTGTATCATCATGAAGGGGTTTCTTTTGTGATAACGACTAGCTGACTGAACATTATTCACCTTAATTATTCAGCAATCGAATTTTAGGTGAATATTAGGGAAACGTTGAACTGCTTGACCAAATTGACCACATGCCACGACTGACTAATTAGAATGGACTAATATATATATTAGTTTTAGTTAATAACAATACTGATAAGGCCCCATTTTTGATTCTGCTCCCCCTCTATCTACTCTATTATCTTGATACGAAAATACTCAAATAACATATGTAAGGCTGAAACGATTCCTCGAATACCTCGAGTAACTCGAATACAAAAAAATCCTCGAGGCTTCGTTTAGTCCATTTACTGTAACTACACACGGAACACCGTGTTTCCCCACGGACCATTATTACTGACGCGGCACAATCCGATAAACGCTGGACCAGACCATAGACCAGGGCTGCCTAGTAAGAGCTTGATTAGCTGGTTCAGGTGTGTTTAATTGGGGTTGGAGCAAAACTCTTCAGGACACGGGCCCTCCAGGACCGAGTTTGGACAGCCCTGCCATAGACTGTATAAAAACAGGGACCAGCCTTTTAAAAAAAAAGCTCTGGACATATTTAAGACCGTAAATCAATATGACGGCTAGTTATAATGTCCCTACGTTAGCTATGTTTTGTAAAAGACTAAACGCCATTGTGCATAAAAATACCACAGAAAGAAAGTTAATCAATATCACACGAAGCGTGCCATTTTTCACCTCTAAAATCAGCATGATTACAAATGTGATTTTATTCAACAGTTCAATAAACAAGAAGGTAATATTATGAGACTTACGTTTTAGACACTATATTGCCTGTTTTTGCTTTATTTTGCCAACAAAAAAATTCCAAACACAGCCACATCGCTGTTTTGCATCTCTGTGCAACATGACGGCAATTTGTTCCTGAATGAATCAACCGTTTAAATGATTCGGTTCAATCGCAATGACTCACTTCTTAACAGTGACTTGCTGCCACCTGCTGGCGGTTTT